CCTCCAGGGTGTGGCCACCCTCCAGGGCGTGGCCAACCTCCAGGGTGCGACCACCCTCCAGGGTGTGGCCACCCTCCAGGGTGTGGCCACCCTCCAGGGTGTGGCCAACCTCCAGGGTGCGACCACCCTCCAGGGTGTGGCCACCCTCCAGGGTGTGGCCAACCTCCAGGGTGTGGCCAACCTCCAGGGTGCGACCACCCTCCAGGGTGTGGCCACCCTCCAGGGTGTGGCCACCCTCAAGGGTGCGGCCACCCTCCAGGGTGCGGCCACCATCCAGGGTGCGGCCACCCTCCAGGGTGTGGTCACCCTCCAGAGTGTGGCCACCCTCCAGGGTGTGGCCACCCTCCAGGGGTGTGGTCACCTTCCAGGGTGTGGCTACCCTCCAGGGTGTAGACACCATCCAGGGGTGTAGACATCATCCAGGGTGTAGCTACCCTCCAGGGTGTAGACACCATCCAGGGTGTGGTCAACCTCCAGGGTGTGGCCACCCTCCAGGGTGTGGCCACCCTCTAGGGTGTGGTCAACCTCCAGGGTGTGGCCACCATCCTGGGTGTGGCCATCATCCAGGGTTTGGCCACCCTCCAGGGTGTGGCCATCATCCAGGGTGTGGCCATCATCCCGGGTGTGGCCACTCTCCATGGTGTGGCCACCATCCAGGGTGTGGCCACCATCCATGGTGTGGCCACCCTCCAGGGTGTGGCAACTCTCCAGGGTGTGGCCACCCTCCAGGGTGTGGCCACCATCCAGGGTGTGGCCACTATCCAGGGTATGGCCATCATAAAGGGTGTGGCCACCATAAAGGGTGTGGCCACCATCCAGGGTGTAGCCACCATCCAGGGTGTGGCCACCCTCCAGGGTGTGGCAACTCTCCAGGGTGTGGCCACCCTCCAGGGTGTGGCCACCTATGGTTAAAGACCAAAACCACTAGAACGTTTGGTCAGTCTTGCGGTTGTGTACCATGACCTACTGAGCCTAGCCTGAGGCAAGTGTGTGTTATGCATCACTCCTGGCCTGCTGGAGTGATGGTGAGGGATGGTGAGGGAGAGATGTGGTGGAGGGGGAGTGAAGGTGAGGGAGAGATGTGGTGGAGGGGGAGTGAAGGTGAGGTATTCATACTCCCCGGGCTTGTCTCATGTGATTCCTGGGGGCACCGGATTGAAGATGACATGTCAAACGCCTCGTCAGCTTGGTCGACGTTATACCTATGTACTTAGAGTGAAGGTTACATCCTTCGTGGGGGCAAGTGTACATGTATACAGGGGGCAAGTGTACATGTATACAGGGGGCAAGTGTACATGTATACAGGGGGCAAGTGTACATGTATACAGGGGGCAAGTGTACATGTATACAGGGGGCAAGTGTACATGTATACAGGGGGCAAGTGTACATGTATACAACGCTTGACTGCTGTAGAGGGTTCTCCGTCGGCTTCCGCCTGTTTTTAATAAGGAGGTCGGTATAGTCTTCTTTGTTTTATAGAATATGATTAGGCCTATGTTTTGGTTAGCAGTTATGCTTTTTACTCTTTTTTTTACACTCGAGGTCTTCAGTAACACTTTAAGTCTTCAGTAACACTCAAGCGACCAAGTGTTGAGACCCACAACACTCTCCAAGGGTGGAGTGCCGCCACTCAACACAACAAGGGTGGAGTGCCGTCACTCAACACAACAAGGGTGGAGTGCCGTCACTCAACACAACAAGGGTGGAGTGCCGCCACTCAACACAACAAGGGTGGAGTGCCGCCACTCAACACAACAAGGGTGGAGTGCCGTCACTCAACACAACAAGGGTGGAGTGCCGCCACTCAACACAACAAGGGTGGAGTGCCGTCACTCAACACACAGGGTGGAGTGCCGTCACTCAACACAACAAGGGTGGAGTGCCGTCACTCAACACACAGGGTGGAGTGCCGTCACTCAACACAACAAGGGTGGAGTGCCGCCACTCAACACACAGGGTGGAGTGCCGTCACTCAACACACAGGGTGTGGAACATGACCATTAGACACCGAGTGTTGTAAACAAAACAATTACCAGTGATGCTGGTGTAGGGTGTGGTGAGGCGGTGTAGGGTGTGGTGAGGCGGTGTAGGGTGTGGTGAGGCGGTGTAGGGTGTGGTGAGGCGGTGTAGGGTGTGGTGAGGCTGTGTAGGGTGTGGTGAGGCGGTGTAGGGTGTGGTGAGGCGGTGTAGGGTGTGGTGAGGCTGTGTAGGGTGTGGTGAGGCGGTGTAGGGTGTGGTGAGGCTGTGTAGGGTGTGGTGAGGCGGTGGAGGGTGTGGTGAGGCGGTGTAGGGTGTGGTGAGGCGGTGTAGGGTGTGGTGAGGCGGTGTAGGGTGTGGTGAGGCGGTGGAGGGTGTGGTGAGGCGGTGTAGGGTGTGGTGAGGCGGTGTAGGGTGTGGTGAGGCGGTGTAGGGTGTGGTGAGGCTGTGTAGGGTGTGGTGAGGCGGTGTAGGGTGTGGTGAGGCGGTGTAGGGTGTGGTGAGGCTGTGTAGGGTGTGGTGAGGCGGTGTAGGGTGTGGTGAGGCGGTGTAGGGTGTGGTGAGGCGGTGTAGGGTGTGGTGAGGCTGTGTAGGGTGTGGTGAGGCGGTGTAGGGTGTGGTGAGGCGATGGAGGGTGTGGTGAGGCTGTGTAGGGTGTGGTGAGGCGGTGGAGGGTGTGGTGAGGCTGTGTAGGGTGTGGTGAGGCGGTGTAGGGTGTGGTGAGGCGGTGTAGGGTGTGGTGAGGCGGTGTAGGGTGTGGTGAGGCGGTGTAGGGTGTGGTGAGGCGGTGTAGGGTGTGGTGAGGCAGTGTAGGGTGTGGTGAGGCTGTGTAGGGTGTGGTGAGGCGGTGTAGGGTGTGGTGAGGCGGTGTAGGGTGTGGTGAGGCTGTGTAGGGTGTGGTGAGGCGGTGTAGGGTGTGGTGAGGCGGTGGAGGGTGTGGTGAGGCTGTGGAGGGTGTGGTGAGGCGGTGTAGGGTGTGGTGAGGCGGTGTAGGGTGTGGTGAGGCGGTGGAGGGTGTGGTGAGGCGGTGTAGGGTGTGGTGAGGCGGTGTAGGGTGTGGTGAGGCGGTGGAGGGTGTGGTGAGGCGGTGTAGGGTGTGGTGAGGCGGTGTAGGGTGTGCTGAGGCGGTGGAGGGTGTGGTGAGGCGGTGGAGGGTGTGGTGATGCTGGTGTAGGGTGTGGTGAGGCTGTGTAGGGTGTGGTGAGGCGGTGTAGGGTGTGGTGAGGCGGTGTAGGGTGTGGTGAGGCGGTGTAGGGTGTGGTGAGGCGGTGTAGGGTGTGGTGAGGCGGTGGAGGGTGTGGTGAGGCGGTGTAGGGTGTGATGAGGCGGTGTAGGGTGTGGTGAGGCGGTGTAGGGTGTGGTGAGGCGGTGGAGGGTGTGGTGATGCTGGTGTAGGGTGTGGTGAGGCGGTGTAGGGTGTGGTGAGGCGGTGGAGGGTGTGGTGAGGCAGTGGAGGGTGTGGTGAGGCGGTGGAGGGTGTGGTGAGGCGGTGGAGGGTGTGGTGAGGTGGTGTAGGGTGTGGTGAGGTGGTGTAGGGTGTGGTGAGGCGGTGGAGGGTGTGGTGAGGCGGTGGAGGGTGTGGTGAGGCTGTGGAGATTGTGGTGAGGCGGTGGAGGGTGTGGTGAGGCGGTGTAGGGTGTGGTGAGGCGGTGGAGGGTGTGGTGAGGCGGTGGAGGGTGTGGTGAGGCGGTGGAGGGTGTGGTGAGGCTGTGGAGATTGTGGTGAGGCGGTGGAGGGTGTGGTGAGGCGGTGGAGGGTGTGGTGAGGCGGTGGAGGGTGTGGTGAGGCGGTGGAGGGTGTGGTGAGGCGGTGGAGGGTGTGGTGAGGCGGTGGAGGGTGTGGTGAGGCTGTGGAGATTGTGGTGAGGCGGTGGAGGGTGTGGTGAGGCGGTGGAGGGTGTGGTGAGGCTGTGGAGATTATGGTGAGGCGGTGGAGGGTGTGGTGAGGCGGTGGAGGGTGTGGTGAGGCGGTGGAGGGTGTGGTGAGGCGGTGGAGGGTGTGGTGAGGCGGTGGAGGGTGCGGTGAGGCGGTGGAGGGTGTGGTGAGGCGGTGGAGGGTGTGGTGAGGCGATGTAGGGTGTGGTGAGGCGGTGTAGGGTGTGGTGAGGCGGTGGAGGGTGTGGCGAGGCGGTGGAGGGTGCGGTGAGGCGGTGGAGGTGTGGTGAGGCGGTGGAGGGTGTGGTGAGGCGGTGTAGGGTGTGGTGAGGCGGTGTGGGGTGTGGTGAGGCGGTGGAGGGTGTGGTGAGGCGGTGGAGGGTGTGGTGAGGCGGTGTAGGGTGTGGTGAGGCGGTAGAGGGTGTGGTGAGGCGGTGTAGGGTGTGGTGAGGCGGTGGAGGGTGTGGTGAGGCGGTGGAGGGTGTGGTGAGGCGGTGGAGGGTGTGGTGAGGCGGTGGAGGGTGTGGTGAGGCGGTGGAGGGTGTGGTGAGGCGGTGGAGGGTGCGGTGAGGCGGTGGAGGGTGTGGTGAGGCGGTGGAGGGTGTGGTGAGGCGGTGTAGGGTGTGGTGAGGCGGTGTAGGGTGTGGTGAGGCGGTGGAGGGTGTGGTGAGGCGGTGGAGGGTGCGGTGAGGCGGTGTAGGGTGTGGTGAGGCGGTGGAGGGTGTGGTGAGGCGGTGGAGGGTGTGGTGAGGCGGTGGAGGATGGAACTGGTTCTTGTGCAACTTGATATATAACTGATATCTCGATGGGTGTTATCAGTAGCACATAACACAACACCCAGGTAGTGGGTGCTGTGTGGAGGTGGTGTAGCGGGCAGTGAAAGTAGCCGAGTTGAGGTCATGTTTACACTGCAGAAATTGTGGTCGGTGGTTCGAGGTTCTTGGTGGACATTGCATGGGGATTAGTTACCCGTCGTTCACCTGTTTGTTGAGTGAAAGATTACCAGGACCCCATCATACGTGACACGAGTATGGGAAGACCTTGGCTAGCACTCTCACTACACCCAGTTCTTGCTAACGTCCCTAACTCCGTTACTCGGAGCACTCCCCCCACCCCCTAGTTCTCCGAGGGACAACATTACCTAGGATGATGTGTGAGGGCGCCATTAGCAGTGCTCTCAACGTCAGGGGAAAGTTTCACTCAAGAATGTATGAGATCATCCCACGTGTAGAGCACCTAGAGTGAGAAGGAGAGAGGGGTGAGTCAAGAGGTGTAAGCACATATTTATCCAGAGAAGGTGAAGTATTACACGAGAGATAGTCATTATCACAAGTCCTATAACTGTTATAGTTACTCCAACTCTCTCCAGTATTGTGTTTTAAACTCTGTATAACTGGGGCTAAAATCCTGAGAATGATGACAGAGTTGGAAGCTACGACTAAGAGCTGTACATGTTCCTTGTTGTATTACGTGATGGTCCTAACTACGGCTGCTGACTGGCCGCCCACTAACTACCCTGCATGGCCCTTCACTCACACGCAACAACCACCAGGCTGCTTCCCCTCGTAACGGGGTGTTGTGGCTCAGAACTCCGGAATAACCATTTCCGTGATTTGATTCTCGAGGCGTCACAAGCCAGGCAAGTGTCTTAAATATTAGCAAAGTTACAATGAGAGTAAACACGAGAGATACGAACCCGTTGATACTCTGCTCCTACCAGAGTTGCGGAACATATTACCCAGGTGAGCCGCAGGAAGCCTCTGGCACTTATCCTAACTATTCCAGACTTCCGTCTCAGAAAGTTGGATTTAATCATTATATTATGGTGGACTTGCACATCCTGTGAGCGGCCGGGGATGTATTGCACCACCCGTCCCGCCCACACGCCCACACGCCCACGCGCCCACCCGCCACAGGAAGTGCAGGCCGTTCATACTAAACTAAGACAAGATCACATAAAGCGAGAGGAGAGATGTTTAATATGGCTTAACAAAGAGAAAGGTTGATGTATGATGTAATGTTGGAGAGGGGAAGGAGGAGAGGGAGAGGCTGAGAGAGGGAGGGGAAGAGAAGGAGAGGCTGAGAGAGGAAGAGGAAGGAGGAGAGGGAGAGGCTGAGAGAGGGAGGGGAAGAGAAGGAGAGGCTGAGAGAGGGAGGGGAAGGAGGAGAGGGAGAGGCTGAGAGAGGGAGGGGAAGAGACAATGAGAGCAACACGTGAGACATCCTGTATGGAACAAGGAGGTAATGATGTGTACAGTAGGAGGGGTGACTTGCCACACTGTTGTGTGACGCACACACTCCACGGTTATTATCACTCTCATTGTTATTAACACTGTTGTTGTTAATATTATTATTATTGGTAGTGCACAAAGATAACACATTAACGTGATACATCAGTGAGAACATCTGTAGGAGCTGAGGAAGATACAGTGAACCTCTACACTGAGTACTGTAGAAGCTGAGGAAGATACAGTGAACCTCTACACTGAGTAGATCCAAGCACACGCCGGTTCTTTATATATATATATATATATATATATATATATATATATATATATATATATATATATATATATATATATATATATATATATATATATATATATATATATATATATATATATATATATATATATATTTAGGGGTACCACCACTGGTTTAATTAAAGGGACCCACATCCTCGAAGAAGAAATAAATAGTGTTCAGAGAAGACCTTGTGGATTCTCACTGAATACTTTAATCTTTTCCTCTCCTACCACCCCTATTATTTTTTTTTTATTTGATTTTATTGCAATGCACACACTTATTTAACAGTATACCAGTGTTCGAAAACCTCGTCCAGCTCCTCGGGGGTCGGGTGTGTACCCAAGATATATATATATATATATATATATATATATATATATATATATATATATATATATATATATATATATATATATATATAAATTGACGATCACGAAACACTGATGATTTGTATGCGGAAAATCCACAGAGAAATAGGAAAGGAAGATGAACGTTTCGGCTGTTTACAGCCGTTGTCAACACCTGACTGACTAGGAGAAACAAAGGGAGGGTACAGGTCAACACCTGACTGACCAGGAGAAACAAAGGGAGGGTACAGGTCAACACCTGACTGACTAGGAGAAACAAAGGGAGGGTACAGGTCAACACCTGACTGACCAGGAGAAACAAAGGGAGGGTACAGGTCAACACCTGACTGACCAGGAGAAACAAAGGGAGGGTACAGGTCAACACCTGACTGACTAGGAGAAACAAAGGGAGGGTACAGGTCAACACCTGACTGACCAGGAGAAACAAAGGGAGGGTACAGGTCAACACCTGACTGACCAGGAGAAACAAAGGGAGGGTACAGGTCAACACCTGAACATGACCACATATCCCCAGGGTAAAGAATTACCCAGAAGCAGGTATAGATTTAGCTTAGAATAATAGGATTAAGCGGTCAGAGAATACGGATGAAAGATTAAAGAAAGCCTCACTAAACATACAATATATGAATATAATATTGAAATGAGACATAGAAGCCCTTTCAAAGATTTTTCTTAAACTGTTGTGCAATATTGTAACTTAACAATGGATCACGTTTGTACATACCAGTGCTAACATTGGTAAGATTTGGACACTGATTAAGGCAGACTCAATCAAATTACGTTCCGCGAAACCACCGCAATTAGTAATGCTTTTCGCTCCATCCCACTTAATTTAATTAATAGTGTGATCACAAACTCGTGTGTAGCTACAATGCATTAGACGTTTGCGCAGTTCTAATATTATAAGCATGTTATGACAACCGCAACTGTAAGGACTTTCCTGTTTGTCCGAGGTACACAGTGCAATGATTGTAATTCTGTTTGATGACCAATTTGGACCAATTTGATAGCAAATTTATCTTAAATACTTCATTTATTGACGTTGCACACTTCCCCAGACGACTCCAACACTGTACTACACATGTCGGAAGACCCGACACCATTTAATAATATTACATTCAATAGGCAGATAATATTGCTGTTGTGTTGTATACACAAGTTACCCATAGAAAATGTGGCTTGTAGTGGAATTTTCCATCAATAGAAAACGGGATATCATTGTCACTTAGTACTACAAATTCACCAGCTATTCTGTTTGGAATTATTCTTAAATACATTAGTCTTTGGACTTTTAATATCATAAAAACATCTCATTTGAATTAAGTTAATTATCAGTATCAAAACAGTAAATGTGACCCTTCTATCAGTTACTGACATTTGGACAAAGTGAGGCAAGGCGTGAGTAGTAGTGAAGAGGTCAGACATTGTTTGTTAAGACCAGAGTCGTTGGAGCGAGTTCGGCTCCTATAATTCTCTTGGACCAAGTGTTATGGAGATCATATTTAGTGTTCTACCATCATCAACTCGCTGTCAACAACCACAAGGGAAGTGTCTTCCCGAAATCTTATCTAAGTCATTATTGGCCAGTAATGTTAGGTAGGTATGATTAATTCCGGTTAGAACACGAACGATCGACTCAACACAGGTAATTAAGCCTTGGTCCTTATATAATAACATACAGTGTTTTCTCTGATATAGCTGTCATATATTAGGATCCCAGCTTGACAGCTAGTGCCCTTTGACAGGAACAGGAAGAGGAAGCAAGAATTAATCTTGGTACATCAGTTACTATGGGTGATGAGTCTGGCCCTAGCTTCGGTAAGGGGCGGACGTGTTGCATCGGCGCTCCAGCAGTTTGGTGTTGTTTGCCCGTTTCGGCTGGTTGGGGGCGGGTGTGTCTGCTCGCCTGTGCTGACGTGGCGTTACGATGGGGGTCCCTCTACCCCCAGTCGTCCGGGCTCAGTCTGTGGGACTAGAGTTCTCTGTGCGGGCTGGTTACCCGGAGATTGCCCTGGCTTGTGAAATGCTCTCTGTCCCTGTGTTTGCGATTTATGGGGTCGAGTTGGTAACGGCCCGTAGGGCAATTGTGAAGTTTGCAGTGGAGGTGGCGTATCGCGATTTTCTCCGGCGTTACGAGGGGCGGACTCTGCCCCTGCCGGATGGTGCGGGCACTGTCACCCTCTCGGATAGAAGTGGTGCACTTACTTACATCAGTGTGCATGGGGCTCCCTTGGAGTTTCCAGAGGCTCTGCTACGGCGGTATTTTGGCCGGTTTGGCGCAGTTGTTAGTGTGAGAGTGAACGTGGTGTCTTCTAGTCCTCTTAAGGGTGTGAGGTCTAACATTCGCACCCTGGGCATGAGGCTCCGGGCGGATATTCCGTCCTCTGTGCGCCTTATGGGGTACAACGTTCGGGTGTTTTACGCCCGTCAGCCGCGGACGTGTTATCGTTGTGGTCTTTTGGGCCATCAGGCTGCTGACTGTTCTGCGCCTGCTGTTGCACCAGTGAATCTCTTCAGTGAGGAGGATTTCCCGCCCCTTCCTGTGGGGGATGATTCGGTGGGTATGGACGTCTCTTCGGCTGAGGAGGTGCCCTCTGTAGCAGCTGTTGCTCCGCCTGTTGCGCCCCCTGTTGTTGCCGCATCTCCGGAGGTTGGGTCCTCGCCTAGTGCTCCAGCTGGTGTCCCTGAGCCTCTTCCGCCTGCCGTTTGCTCGGACCCCTCGTCTTCCAGTTCTTCCTCTGCTGTGTCTGTCCCAGTCCCTGCGCCCTCGCCGTCTGTTCCGGCTGTGCTGGGAGCTGAGGTGGTTCCGGCATTCCCTCCTGTGCCTGGCCTGGTGCCCCGTGTGGTTGAGGAGGCTGCCGTGCTGCGGCGTGCGTCGGTTCGCTCGGTTGGTGCTGCGCGGGTCGCTGAGTCTGCCTCCGGGTCTGATGATGTGCGGCCCGAGCCTAAGCGTTCCCGGCGCTCTTCTGCGTGGGCTGATGTTGGCAAATTCGACGAGTGTCGTCCTTCCGTTGGCGGTGGCGTGGCTCCGGATGTGGTGCACACTACGGTGGTGGCGGAGGTACACTTGCCTGAGGATGTCGGTGCCGGTGTTTCGGCCTCAACCTCTGGTCCGGTGTCCGAGGGTCCTGCTTCAGGTGCGTTGCCTGCGTCGGATGGCTCCGGTTCTTCGTGGGCGGTGGTTCCCCCTGCTGTAGTTGGTGGTGAGCGGGGTGGCCTGGTGGTGATGTTGAGAAAGGATGCTCGCTCTGGATGTTCTGTGGCCCCTTCCTCGTTACCCGTTTCCTCGGCAGCAGTCTTGCCGCCTCTTCCGTTTCCTGCAGTCCCTTCCGTGTCTCCTGCGGTAT